TCGAAACGGCGAAAGCCTAACCCCCCATCATGCTTGCTACGGCACAGATTCCGCCACGACACCCACCGGAGTCTAAAATGGTCCTCAGAGTCCCCCCACCAAAAACGGGCCATATGCCTATCCAAGAGCCGACATAGAGAAAGCGGAAGCTTAAAACAAGACATCACATGTAACGGTAATGCCATAGCGACCGACTTAAGTAATGTTTCCTTAGCGGCCCAAGACAGGGTCTTCTTTTTCCATCCCTGAAGACGTTCTAGCAATTTCTCTTCTAAATACCGAAAAGTGGCCATCTTGGACCGAGCAATAAGAGTCGGCAGACCCAGGTACTTATCATGGACACCAACCGCACCCACCCCCAACACTGCGGCCAAGAATTCCTGATCTGCTTGGACAATATTCTTACTAAAACAGACAGCAGATTTCGCCAAATTCACTCGTTGTCCACTCAATTCCTCATACTCGTTTAGCACCTCAATAAGATTATCACACTCCCGGAGGGTTCCTCGCAGAAATAAATATGAATCGTCTGCAAAGAATAGGTGCGAGAGACGCGGCGCACGAGGAGCCACTTTCACTCCTTCTAAACGTTTTTCTGAAATAGCCTTACGAAGGAGCGCCGCAAAACCCTCCGTACAGAGGACGAATAAGAGAGGGAAAAGCGGATCCCCTTGTCGAAGTCCCCTGGAGGGAGTAAAATAACCTGATGGAGAGCCATTCATCAGCACAGAAAAGGACGTGGATTGAAGACACTCCCGAATCCACCCTTGCCAAGTCGAGTTAAAGCCCATCCTATCCAGGACAGCAAGGAGAAACGGCCATTCGACTCTATCATAGGCCTTTTCCATGTCAACCTTAAGAGCCATGTACCCTTTCTTACCCCGCGTCTTGATTTTCAGGTAGTGCATTAACTCGTGACCTATAAGTATATTCTCAACAATTTGACGTTCGCGGATGAATGCATTTTGACCCTCAGAGATAATATTAGGCAAAATGCAGGCAAGACGCTCCGCCATGATTTTAGTGATAACTTTATAGACAAATTGGCAAAGACTTATCGGTCGTAGCTGCCACATAGATTCCACATTCTCAACCTTTGGTATAAGAGTGCGCCAAGTATGGTTGAAGCTACGGAGCATCCGACTAGTGGCAAAGAATGAGCTCACAGCCGCCACCACCGAATCACCCACCACATCCCAGAAGGCCTTAAAAAATTTACCAGTGAAACCATCTGACCCAGGTGCCTGCTTGGATCCCATCGCAAACACCGTTTTCCGTATCTCGGAGGGAAGAACTGCAGACGTAAGACTGGCATTCATCTCTGGGGTAACACTACAAGCAATAGGCAAGGATGCCACGCGCTCCGCCATGTTATTCACCAGATTCTCCGTAGTGAAAAGGTGCTGATAAAAGGAATTAGCAATCCCAGCCTTACCAGGTTCATCAGTGATCCACTACCCATTGTCATTATGCAAGCCCGCTACAAAATTCCGTTTGCGGCGCGTCCTGGTCACTGTGTGAAAATAGGCCGTGTTTTTATCCCCCTTTTTCAACCAGTGAACCCTGGACTTCTGCTGCCAATAAATTTCCTCCGCTTCCCATTGACGATTCAACTCCATCTCCAAATTCCGAACCAAATCCCAATCAATCGGCTGGATTAGTTTGACCCTGTCAATTTCACTCTGGAGGGTACGAATATTCCGCAGGGAATTCGTGGTTCCTGCCCTACTCCAGTCATATAAGAGGTGACGGAGTTTCTTAAGGCGCTCCCATAAACAGAACATCGGGGTCCCTTGGACATCCTCCTTCCAGACATAAGCCACCATAGCCCTAACTTCCGGGTTATCCGCCCATCGGGCATCAAACCGGAAAAGAGGCCTACTATTCCTACTGTAAGGTTTATCAGACAGGAGGAGAGCCCTATGATCCGAGCCTTGGTCAGTAAAGTGCTTGACCAGGGTTTCGGGAAACCGATCCACCCAAAGCTGGGAACATAGGGCTCTATCCAACCGCTCACGAATGCAGGCACTGCCCATTCTCTTGTTCGTCCAAGTGAAAAGATCACCTTGGAACCCAGGGTCATGGAGACCCAAATCATGGATAAAATCACGCAAACTCGCCGAGTTATTAGCATTCCAAAGATTCCCCCCATCCTTCTCACTTGCATTGAGAATAGTATTAAAATCACCAATAACCACATAAGGCATTTGGAAGGTGGCGCAGAGATCCTTAAGATGAGCCAATTGGGTTACTCTAATGGAAGCAGAGCAACTTATATAAACACAGACCACAATATAAGAAAAGTTTCCTTCATTAATCTGGGAGCAAATACAGAAATTGGAAGAATAAAAAACCGAAAGTTGAACTTCTGGGGACCAAGCAAACACTAAGCCCCCAGAAGCATCAATAGCATCAACAAAAAAACACTGAGAAGAATCAAAACCCAGCCTTCGCATACGCCGGGAGACAACACGCCGGCTTGATCTCGTTTCAGAAAAAAACACGATCTCCGGATTGTTGGAATGGACCAATCCCACAGCCGTTTGGAACGTGAGAGACGGCCCAATGCCCCTCACATTCCAGGCCAAAAGCCTCATTTAACTGGGTGGGGCCATTCCCGGCTGGCTTCCTCCACCGTCTCTTGTGTTTCTGTATCTTCCACGAACTGTTTTTTCGGCGTAGGTGGGACACCCACCTCCCCTTCAATTTCCTCCAATGGCCGCTTATGCAACCCCGAGGGTGGATCAGCCAAATTAGACCCGTACTCATCCAAAACCCCAGCAGCCAACCCCTCCGGGTTGATAGAACCGGCCTCCTCTGCCGCCACAGCATCCCCGGTCACTGCCGGCGCCACCAACACATCAGCAATATTCAGCCCCGCCTCAAAAGCTGCCACTACCTGGCTCACACGGCCCTTAGTGGTCGGGCCATTCTTTTTCATCGTTTTCGAGGGGGTGCGCTTTTTTATCATAAAACAATTATCATCATTGCCCGATAGGGATCCATCCGATCTGGTCTCTAGGGCCGCCTCGGGTATCATGGTATTAGAATCAACAGGGGCGCCACCAATTATTGGGTTGCCCATCTCCCCAGCAGGCCGATCCAACTCATCAAAGAATACTCCTGCAGGTGAGAGGGCCTCGGTCATGTGAGGATTGCATTCCAATTTGGAACTAGCTTTCCTCAATTTGCCTTTGCCACGCGAGGTTGGTGGCTTTGATTTATCAAGGCCCTTAATAATACCCTGATCCACTTTTAGAGCATTTTCCACCTTCAGCTTGGGAAATGCTTGCTTTTTGGCGCGTCGGCCTTTCCCCTTCCCCATACTAGCCACCGCTGCTTCTGTCAAAGGGGCCGCCTCCGCCGAATCCATCAAGACAGTCGATTGCATGGGTTGCTGCATCGGCTGCGCCACATCCGCCATGTCATCATCCGGGTCCTTCTCCAAGATAAGGCGTCTCCTTCGAGTCTGGTCATGAATCACAGCGTCCTTTTCATCACTTGACTGCGAGGCCGGGACCATTTGAGCAGCTGGTTCGTGATGGGTCCGGGTCACCAACTCCGCAGCCGAGCGATCCATCCTCGCCTCAGCCTTCTTTGCTCCCGTCGCTGTCCGACGCCCATTGCCCAGCCGGATTTTAGGAGGGCGATTGAGCGCGATGCCGCGCGGACTGCCCCGGCGAGGAGAAGTTTTCACCCTCTCATCCACCTGGTTCGGCGCCTGTCTATTCCGATTCACCGATCTCTGAGCAGTTTGCGGGGGGGCCTCCTGCTCCTCCTTGACCGAGTGCACAGCTTGATTCCGTGTCCCCAGGTTCAAATCTCCTCTCCCAATCGGCGCAGGGTGTCGCGATTGGCGATTTATCCAGACCGATCTCTTGGAGCCCCCAAATTGAGGGACATCACCATCATCCTCATAGACTTTCCTGTCAAGTTTCTTCGTCGACATTTGCAGGCCGAACCGCTCTTTGCCGCGGGGTGGATCAAAGACACAGTCACGACGTGCGTGGCCAACTCGGCCGCAATGGAAGCAAAAGCTCGGCAGGAACTCGTACTTAAAGTTAACCCAGAAGCTTTCAACATCCTCACAAACCGCCAATAATTGCGATCGGAGAGGCTGTGCAAAGTCCACAATAGTGTTAACTTTTATAAAATATTCGCCCGTGTCTTTGCAAGCAAAGACTCCTGATTCCAGCACTTTCCCAATCTTTGCAGTTGCAAACTTCTGGCCAAAGGTTTTGGTGCAGCAATCCTCTTTCACTCCCCATAATTGGATTCGAAATGGCGCTTTGGACATCTCGTCAAAGGTTCCTTGGGAGAGAACAAGAGACCAAGGGCGAAGGGTGAGCAGCCGATCATTAATAATCCATGGGTTTCGAGACAGCGCCCATTTTTTGGCTTCTTCATTAGGCAGGATAATCTCGAATAGCCCATACTTAGCTTTCAAGACTCTGAGATGGCCCCTGATTTTCCAAGCATCCACCAATCCATCTCGAAGTTCCTTGGTGGTGAGTTGATCATTGGTGAATAAGCGACCAATGAGGGATCGAGAGGCTCGTAATTTGTTCGATTGCACCTCCTCCAGAGAGAATTGGACCACTTGGTCGTCGGTAGCATGAGCCATCTTGCACAACTCCTGACAAATAGGCAGGGAATTCATTATTAGAAATATTAATTCCCGAGTTTATAACAAATCCGAGTACTGTTCCTTACGATAATCTCGCGGTCACTGTTCATGGATGGATTTCGAGATCTGCTGTGGGCAAACTTATGTGAGACCGAGTTCACCACTTTGGGATGGGCAAATCTGACCGTCGATTCATTTTTTAATTTCATAACATACATGGGTTCACATAAAATCAGCAACATCTGACTGATTCCTCTCTCTTTCCGTACGACGACTCCTCGCCTCTTTTTTCCCCCTTTTTTCCATACCCTCCTTACCTTCCCCTTTCTCCTCCGCTCAATCTCAATCGAAGAAGCTGTCGGAAGAAGAATCTGGAAGATACATCGGCGACGACGAAACCGGAGGACATCAATTGAATGAATGGAGACGACAACGGTGATTCTGACTCCTCTGAGCCGGAAGGGAGATTTACTGATTTAGTCTCCTCCCCTCCCAGTCTTCCCATTCATCCTCGCCTTCTCCTTCCAGCGGCGTTCCGTCTCCCGGTTCTTTCCATTTAGGGAGTTTCTTCAGTAGACCCTTTAGTTGAGCTGCCATTCCAGATCTGACCCCGATTCCCCTTTCATTCATCAGAAGCAGACCCCATCAATCAAGAATAACGACTGGCGGCTGGTCAAGTTGTTCGACTGCCGATTCTCTTTCGGGGTTCGCGAGAAGTAGAATAGAGAAGAACGAGGGATGGTCATTGGATTCACCTTTCTTCCCCATCTCTTCTCCACCCAAACTTATTCCGTCGGCCACCTTGGTCCGGTTCTCTGTTTGGCAGCATGGAGATTGATTTTCCGAAGCGAAAGTGAACCATGAGAGTGATTGCAGGGCTCCGAGTCGGTCTTTGAAGTGCCACCTTTGGCGCTGTTCGATGAATCCCTTGAGTAAACGGCCAATTTTTCACTGCAAATCCTCTAAACTCGCAATGAATCTTCTGAACCAAACTTCTGTTGTTGAAAATTTAGACCAGCGAAAGACCGGGGTGAGATGGAATTCTTTCAATTTCTTTTCCTCGCTCTACTCTATCTCATCCCAATTCCCCGACGCGACAGGCGTCTTAACCTATGCTGGTTTAATATCATTAGAGGAAGAAAAAGTTTCACATAATGCCAACCATATATGGTCTCTGGATTGTAATGGTGCTTGAACGTTGAGAGGCAGAGGAGAAAGAAGGAAATTTTGGGTTGGTGACATCTGTTTTCATTTGTGCTCAATCTTATTCCAAGTGTCCAACATGCAAATCACAGGCTTGGTGTAAATAAAAGGGAACACTTAATAGTCTATAATAATAAAACTGAACAGCAATGTTATTTTGTTTCATGGCTATTTTGCTTTGAGTAGCAATTGTCCCCATCTACTAATCTTATGTTATATTGATATATGGAAGAAAATTAGTTTCTTAAATTCATTTTGGAGCAGGATCTCTTAACATGGATATCCTGCATCAACATAGGTTCATGAGTTATAATTGGTGTTCATAAATGTTGTTGGATTTGTGCAGAAAGAAACCATTTCTTCATTCTCATTCATCTCCAACTATAAGCTTTCTATGTACAAATATTTGACCATCAAAGTTTGATTATTTTTTTGTATCTTTTTTAATTGAACGATTATTCCGCCATATTAGTTGTTGCGTCATTGTAATTAGTATGAATAGTTTTCTTTCTTCTATCCCATTTTTTTCTTCTTCTAAATATATTTGGATTGGTTTGTGATCAAAATATGATTCTACTGCTGAAGTTATTGGAAAGGCCTACAACGAAAAGGGAGCTCCAAGTGTAAAATACTACCCTTGCAAGTTACAAACTTTTTTGTTTTGTTGACTATATATACGATCTGTTACGACTTCAGTGTTCATGTTGTATGCCATAAGTGCAATAATTTTTAATAATGTAATTAAATCTATTTGAATGTATAGGAAAACCGTTGAGCGATGCAATTTAAATATAATCGTTGCAATTTTGTTTGGATTCATGATTTTATTTGAATGTAAAATGAGATCACTTATCTCGGTTTATAACAAAATTCATAATCAACTCTAATTGTTTGATGCATTTTTTAGTAACCCGCCGCAAAGCGCGGGCTAATAATCTAGTATCAATAATATTCGGATTACACCCTAGCATCTCTTTGGCCGGGGGAGTCCCAGTCACGAGAGAGACGGGCCGAGAATGCATAACAGGTGATTGAGCAAAATTATTCTTGCGAAAATAGAGAGGGGAAGGGTTCCACAAACCCCCTGTACCTGGGCAGCTCCTGGACGACAGCACAAGGGACAGAGTAGTAGCAGTCGGAGACTTGCTCTTACGTCGATGCTGTGGGATGGGCAGACTTAGCAGCCCAGGTAAGGAGGGTATATATAAGGCTCCTCTTACTCGGTGGTTCCCAAGTAGCGGAAGCGGGTTTGTATCCCGAAGTAGAGTGCAAATAGGACTAGGACTGTCACTCAGAGTAGGTTCTGGATTTGATTCTTCCCGTTGTGCTTTTTTGTTTCGGTAACCGATTAATGATCCCGAGAAAACAGGAACGGAGAGTCCCAATCCAATAATCAAATTATCATTCTCCCCCATATCACGGGATTGGGGGGTTGGGGCGCACGCGCTCGTGCAGGGGGGCACGGTGGCCGAATCTCCGCTAGCACTTGCCGGCGAATCGCACCGCTTCCTATCAATAATCAGCAATCGGATTTCCAATGCTTCCTTGACGAAATCCCGATCGCCCTGTCCGAGCTGATCATCAGCTCTCCCCATAGAACTTAAAGCACCCTCCATACACCCATCGGATTTGGATAACAGCGATTCCTCACCTACCAGTTCCAACGATGGGGGGAGCCAGAATCTCCAAACTTGCATTTTGCCGACTCTGCGTTTTTTCACAGGTCCAGGATTTGATAAACAAATTTCACTCGATGGATTCAAGTCCTCTCGAGTAAGGGCGCATTTCCGCTTACAAATCACCCACCTAGGGTGTTCTTGGTGAAGGGGCTGTCGAGTAATCACCGGGTCGCCATTCTTCCTCCACCGAATCGCCCCTTCCGCGACGATGCCATACTCGCTTCTAGAGCCGCAAGTACCCGCCGGCGGGTTGACATACACTCGTCTCTGGTTCCTCAAGCTGATCAGAAAGACTGAGGAGAGGATCATCGATAAGCATCTACCAAGCCAACCCAACCAATCGAAGAGAGAGGAGAGAGCTCCTCTCATGATTTTTTTTTTAAGAGCTTCCTCTCGGCCCTTAAGGGTTGTCAGATCGGCGAAAAGTTTTTTGTATATATGGGTGAATACATTTTGTATCATCAGATCTATGTTTTAATGTACTTTGTTTTATTCTTTCCAGTTGACTCGCCGGTGACGATGATCCTTTTAGAGGTTGTTAATTTCGTGAAGGTCGGAGACGAGGAAAGCCCGTGTCTTTAGTAAAGCTGATGTTCAATGGATGATGGAGAAGGATAGACTACATCAAAGGGACTCTAATATTTATGAGTGTTTTGTGCATTTTTTCTTATGTATATATCCATAATGTACTATGTAAATTGTGTTGTAAATACATATAATTATGAAGTAGTGATAGAGATGTATCATCTCCAAAGACAAAAAGCGATGTGCATAATTTTATGTTTGTAAATTATCGATGGTTACAAGCATGACCTGTTATTTGTGTGGTTCAATAGTGGGGTGGCATCAATTGAGTTGGTTAGTTGTGGACGAATTATGTTATGTGTATCGACGAAAACATTGTTAGCTTCGTCAATATAAAAATGTAAAACCAACGAGATTATTAATTTTTGCGATGAATTTTTCCCGTCACAAAAAAGGTTGTCAAGTTCATCAAATTGGAAATGCATTAGAGATGACTCATAGCCGTCACAAAAATCTTTTGGGACGGTTCGAGACGAAGAAACTATTTGTGATGCTCGTATTTGGAACTGAGCGTGACGGCTGCATGGCGTCGCAAAAGTCCATTTGCGACGGAATTCAGCCTTTACTTACGGAATCATGTGGTCACTAATGACACTCATTTTTGTAGTGTTTTGAGGGGTGGAAACCGGTACGGTATCGGTATCCCAATACCAAATACCGAAATCCCGAATACCGAATTACACCCCAAAATCAATCCCAATCCCAATCCCTAAATGATTTCGGTATCCCAATCCCAATCCCTAAATATTTCGGTATCCCAATCGGTACCTCGGTATCCCAATCGGTATGATCAAATACAAAATTAATTACCTTTGCCATTAATAATTAAATATATAAATTAGATTTTATTGTTTAATTTAGGGCAAAGAGACTAAGCAAAGAGTCTTGAGTTTCCTAGAGCTAACATCTCAAGTTTTTGTAATTGGTAATCTTTAATTTGATGAATTTGAGGTTGAGAAACGACTAATACTAGTGTGAAATAGTTATATAATGATCTATGTATAATTAAATTGCACTCTTGGTGGTTGAGGGTCGCGTAGTAGTGAATGAGAGAGTCTAGTTGAGAGGATAAAATACACACTAGCTTATATTTCGGTATTGATCTGTATTTCGGTATATACCGATCCCAATCCCGTAATCCCTAATACCGAATAACAATTGAAACTCAATCCCAATCCCAATCCCACAAAATAATACGTGTATTCAGTAATACCAAATATAGACAAATTCGGTACGGTATTCGGTATATCCCAAATACCGGTACCAAACTTCCAGCCCTAGTTTTGAGGGTTATTTTTAGTTTGATTGTTGTCGTTTGTTTTCGTTTTTTGGTTGTGCTATTCCGCTCGCGAGCTACAAGCTATATACCCCTTTATTATTCAGAACCCGTGTAATACACTTGTTTAAGTTTGCGTGTTTACATTACATGAGTGTGAAATATCTACGCAGGTGCATAGGATTCCAAGTCTTGGACATGTCGATGCTTTCAGCATCGTTGAGCTTCACGGTATTAGGACTGATAACCTCCCTTACTTGATACATGCCCTGTGATTTGGGTGTAAACTTTCCGAACCCACTCTCCGGGTGGGAGTTCCTTCGAAGCACCCAATCCCCAACTTGGAGGGCGTTGCCTTAGCTAGTTAGCTTGGAGTTGTAATAGCAGGCGACTCGCTTATGGGTGGCAACAAGACATAGCCTGGCGTCTGCCCTTCACTTTTTAACGAGATCCAGATTATGGACGAGCTCAACATTGTTAGCGTCGGGGCAAAAAATTTCAATTCGGTATGATGACATCTCCATTTCTACATGTAGCACGACATCGGTGCCACCAACAATGAATGCAACTGGATGGAGTGATAAAGGGACATCAAAACTCGATTGGCCATTCGACAATGGCATGTTCTTCAATTGGGAGTAAAATCTATCCCTTTGTTTTGCTTTAATTTAGGAGTTGAAGCACTTGCTCCTTTCTTTGTTTGTTTGATTTTGTTTGTTTTATTTAGAATCTCCCTAAACAAGACGATTTCTAGTTGCCTAATCTTTATATGTAGAGATATGAATGCCAAGTTAAGTAACACCTATTTTCAACCATTTCCATCGCTCACTATATTTTAGTCCATTGAGGACATTGTCCATTTTGAAGTTTGGGGTGGAATTGGGTGATACATGTTACTTGATTATGCTTGATACATGATAAATCTTTAGTCATTAAATTTTGAAGGTTTTGATCCGAAATCTAATATTCTTATGATCCATTTGAAATTTGT